TTGGCGAATTTGTCACGCTTAGGCGTAATTATAAAGCTTGCCGTTGGTTGAGTGTTGAACAGTAGTTGATCACTGTTACAACGCTGTGGGTGATCACGATATAATTTTCTCCGATACCAAGGTTCTTTGCAAACCCACGGGTTTTTATCAGAGATTTGTTCACGAGGCAATTCAGATCTACAAACACAGACACAATTTCAACCGAGACGATGGTTTCAAATTAAGCAACCATTGGAAAGATGTTCTAAATCGAACCAAACATTAAACTAATTTTCAATGGTACAGTATATTTTTCAAGTAGTGGTACCCCAAACTTTCGCAGCTCTTAAAAATTCCCTTTTCACACCATCAATAGGTAAACTCCCCCCCCCCCCCGCGCCAACCGGCATGTGCACACGCACGTGCATTTATTTATTTATTTTCTTATCTCAGAAAAAATCAGACTTATACGCACCGAACTAGATCAGTTAGACAAGACACTCTACAAATCACACTTATCATTGACGGCAACAATGTCCACATCGGATTGGGAACATGTAGACAATATGACTGCCTCTTCAGCTGCTACTATGTCGACCAAATGTAAGGAAAACCTGATTTCCAAATTTAACCTCCTCTTCAACAAAAGACCGGACCCACACACCAAAAAGTTAGACGTTAATAAAGTCGTAATTAATCGCAGTAACAGTTCTATTTCCGATGGTCTGAAATCCGTTTTAGCTAAAGGTCTAAACTTTGCAGTCACACCTAAACACATACCAGTTAATGATATAATTGCCCAAGTAGACGTTGCTCTCAGGGGCCTGGGTCACATCGCTGCAGACGTAGCAAGATCTGAAATCGCTGCAACCCTCAAAAACGCTAAGATGCCAGCTAGCAACCTCAGCAAAGATGAGCGTTTTGAATTATATAAATTAAAAAAGAGGAATGATATTGTAGTCCTCTCAGCTGACAAAGGCAATGCTACTGTCATCATGGATAAAATAGAATACAACAACTAAATTAAAGAATTACTCGACGATGGTAGTTATACAAAAATAAAAAGAGATCCCACCAACAGCCTCGTCACACAAACCAACAAAATAATTTCTGATTCAACCGCATTAATTGATCAATCTAAATAGTTTTCGTTGAAACCTTCTGCTGCCAGGCCACCAAGATTATACGGCTTACCAAAAATACATAAAGTAGATACACCCCTTCGTCCCATAGTCTCTACTATCGGCTCCCCCACCTACAAACTAGCTCGTTTTTTTGTCTGAAATCCTGCGTCCTTTCACTGGAAAGACCACCTCTGCGGTACAAAATTCTACTCACCTGGTATCGACAATCAAGGGTATTTCCCTGTCCCCAGACGACCTGCTTGTCAGTTTTGATGTAGTTTCCTTATTCACCAAGGTTCCTGTACCTGACACCATTGCAATCATTGAAGACTTAGTTCATCAAGGACTAAACACTGAGGTACCCCCCCTGGTGAGACACTGTTTAACCAATACATACTTCACTTGGAATGGAACTTTCTACAAACAAACTGAGGGCACCCCAATGGGTTCCCCCCTTTCTCCAGTTATAGTTAACATTTTCATGGAGAAATTTGAGACTGACGCCATCCAGACTGCCACTCTGCGCCCAACCTTATGGAAGAGGTACGTGGATGACACTTTTGTCATCTGGCCACATGGCCGGCCTGCTCTAGACCAATTCTTCGACCACATCAATTCCATACACCCAGCCATCAGATTTACCATGGAAGTCGAAATAGATGGCAAGATACCCTTTTTTGGATGTCCTAATTAAAAAGAGACCTGATGGTTCAATGAGCCACTCTGTCTACAGGAAAGCTACCCATACGGATGCTTATCTGAAACCGGATTCCTACCACCATCCATCACAGAAGAATTATCTCATCAAGACTCTGTATCATAGAGCCCAATGCATATCCGACCAGGAACACATAAGCAGTGAACTCAAGCACGTACACCAAGCTCTTAGGGCTAATGGTTACTCCGACTATACAATCCGCAAAGCTATCACTCAAACCATGAAGAAGAACCCTCTTGAGGAGCCTTTCAAAACCATCACTTTACCCTACATTGCAGGGATCACAAAAAAGATCTCCAAAATCTTGAATAAACACAAGATCCAGGTCCGTTTCAACACATTACATAAAATCCGTGATCTGGTTCCGTCTGTAAAAGATGTGATTCCGGACATACAATACCCTGGTGTCTACAAACTAAGTTGTCTCTGTGGTAGTAGTTACATTGGAGAAACCAAACGCCATGTCTCGGACCGCATTCGTGAACACAAAGCAGACCTTAAACACGGTAGGACCAACACCTCGGCCGTGGCAGATCATTGTTCTAATTCAGTAGGCTCACATGCCATTGACTTTTCCAAGACAGAGGTTCTTTGTAAGCCATCTGGCTTCCATGAGAGATTCGTTCATGAGGCTATCCACATATACAAGCACAGAGACAATTTCAACCGAGAAGATGGATTCTATCTTAGCAATCATTGGAAAGATTTGATAAACCATTTCAGTTCTTAATTGATTGTTCACGCTTACAGTGGCTTTCAGACAGCATACATTATATATATAAAAAAATCGTCTCCCCCCTCCTCTTTTCAGAATATAGATGGACTAGTCCTAAATAAACTGCCAAATCGTTGCGCGTGGCGCTAACGTTTTTATAAATAAATAAATGCGCCGTTTAAAAATAAATTTATGCAAACCAACACACCTGAAGACGACCGTTTGAGTTATGGTCGAAACGTCGTGAGAATTTTTTATTGTTTTATATATATTTTATTATTTTGTTGTTTCCCTTCAACGTGACTTTACCGAAAAAACTAAGGATATGAATTACTGCAGTCACGAAAGCTTTAAATCAAAATTAAAGTCGTGATTTTTGTTTTATTTTTACCTACGTGACTTTACCGAATAGAACCAAAGAGTATGGATCCTTGCAGTCACGAAAGCTTTAAATCTAGAATTGTTGAACAGTTGTACAGGTATCCCTCGATTTATGAAAGGGATGCGTTCTTTTTACAATACAAAGAAACAAATGAACAACGAATATTAAAACGATCGAATCCTAATTAACTAAAAAGGAAAAATAAACGTACCTTTTCAGGTAGGGGGCCGTCCATAAATGACGTCACGCGATTTTGGACGATTTTTGACCCCCCCCCTTCGTCACACGTCACAAAAAGTCAGACCCCCCCTCAAATATGACGTCACAAAGCTCTGCCCCCCCCCCCAAAATAAAACATGCTTCAAATCGCTTTAAATTATTGCCATTATAGTGCGTATTTAATGTGCCGCTGCACTGATGTTGTAGGAGAAAACATTTATTAAAAAGTCTAATTAAGTAGAACGTGTTGTCTATATTTATTTAAAGTTGCGCATTTTGATGTGACGTTACACTTCTCACCACCCCCTCCTCGTCACACATCGTCACAAATGTCTGACCCCCCCCACCCCCCCAGGTGCGTGACGTCATTTATGGACGGGCCCCCTAACTCGCCACCAAAACATCTGCTGCTTGCATGTTGGATGCCTGGGCAAGGCGATGTGGAGGCGTCACTGCTGCTACCACCGTGACGCTGTCGCGAGACGCCGCAGCTTCCTTGCCGGGTGGCTCGAGTTTGACGATCACGTGGCGCGATGCCGCGTGAATTTTTCGTGAACTTCGAAAATTCGATTTCGCGTTCATCGAAAAAGGTACTACTATAATTTGTCAGTTGCGTAAACGCAAAGTTTCGTGAACCCAATGTTCGTAGATCCAGGGATACATGTGCGGTATATTTGAGTAAATTATGTTCACACATTTTTTTTTACATTTTGGAAAGGAGACTTAAGATTGTGTGTATGGGTGTTGAACCGGCAATAACAACAGCAGCCTCTGCCATTTGCTCATTAGATTTCTTGCTATTTCATTATACTGTACATGTATTGCATGCGAAAGTTAAACAAATGTTTCGTATACCAGAAAAAAACGAAAAAACGCCTTTTCGTTCCGATATTTTCGTAAACACCCAACAATTTCTCATCTGACATGGCTATTTTTTGCACCGATTTACATTTTCTTAATTTCCTAACTTTATTTAATGTTTTTTTTTATTTTGTCAATATGAGTAACGAAGGTCACTCTGGGCTAAACTGCACCTCAGTTGAAACTACTGAACATCTGTAACAAAAAAACAACAAGAGAGCTTCATAGCTCATCGAATTTCTCCAGTATTAGGGGCCGTCCATAAATGACGTCACGCGATTTTGGACGATTTTTTGATCCCCCCCCCATTCCTCACATGGCGTCACAAAAAGTCAAACCCCCCTCAAATATGACGTCACAAAGCTCTGCCCCCCACATATATAAAACATGTTTCATTTGCTTTAAACTATTGCCATTGTAGTGCGTATTTAATGTGGCGCTGCACCCTGATGTTGTAGGAGAAAACATTTATTAAAAAGTCTAATTAAGTAGAACGTGTTGTCTATATTTGTTTAAAGTTGCGCATTTTTATGTGACGTCACATTTCTCAAACCCCCCCTACCCCCATCGTCACAAATATATTTGACTCCTCCCCCTCCCCTAGGTGCGTGATGTCATTTATGGACGGCCTCTAAACAAATATTCCTACGTTTCTAATAAACTTAGAACATATTATTAGCTCTTTCGGTAAAGTCACGTTGAAGGGAAACAATAAAATAATAAAATATATATAAAACAATAAAAATTCTCACGACGTTTCGACCATAACACCTGATGACGACCGTTTGTGTTATGGTCGAAACGTCGTGAGAATTTTTATTGTTTCATATCTATTTTATTATTTTATTGTTTCCCTTCGACGTGACTTTACCGAAAGAGCTAAGAATATTGAATTACTGCAGTCACGAAAGCTTTAAATCAAAACTTAGATTAACTTGACAATCAACCTTCGATGACACGACCACGTGCTCTCGGCCCCCCCCCACCCCCACGTGATCCGAGCTCGCCCGTCACGTGACACAAACACGGCGACCGCTGTTATTCTCCCCCCACCCAACCACCCACCACCACCACCTCATGGCTCCGACGGCTGGCGCTCTGAGCGGGACTCTGCTGGGATGGCTCATATTCGCCATCGTTCTGCTGGTACGCCTACGCGACACGAGAGCTTGCAAGAGGGAAATATTACCCCACGACGCGCCGCCGCCGTCCGCTCTCGGTTGTTCGTCACTCACCGCGCGCGGTTCGGGTGGTAGGCCGCGGTTCAGACCACGGTCGTGGCCTGATTCTCCGCGGGGCTATGGGGGGTCGTCTCCGGCGGGGCGGGGCAGGGCGGGGGGGGGGCCGGAGATGGGGAGGGGTGGGGGGCAGCTGTCTCGGTCACGTTTCTCATTCGTACAGTCACGACGTGGGGTTAATTTTTTAACAAAAGCTCGCGAGGCACATCGCGTGCGTTATAAAATCACAATCCGGAAGGCAGGGGTTGTTCGTCATGTGTGTATATCCGCCGGTGTAAATATAGCCACACATTTTGGGGGGGGGGGGGGGTTAGGTCGCGTAAATTTATAAATGTTGTGTCGTTAGATCCGCCACCACCCGACACTGCCAACTAGTAAGGTTTGTCACGTAAACAGAACGTGGCCAATTCGTCACTAGTACAGCACTAGTGTATAGTGTATAGTAGTGTATAGTGTAGTGTATAGTGTAGTATACTAGTACAGCACTAGTGTATAGTAGTGTATAGTATAGTGTAGTGCATAGTGTAGTATACTAGTACAGCACACCGGTTGTGTGTTGGAGAGCCAAGCCACAACATTTACAATCAGAGTACGACGTTTCGCCGGTAATTACAACCAGTTTCATCAGGCGGACGGCCAGCTTTGAGTAAAACCAAATACAGATTCCGATTCTGATGTCACGTTGCAGAACAGTACGACGGGCAAGTAGGCGAGATAGCACAGAGGAGAGACGCAGTATGCAGACAGTAAAATAAACACACGGTTCCGTCTACATTGGCAGACTGTCGATGAAGCGGCCCAAATGGTTGTGAAACGAGAGTACTTGCAGTTGCAGACGATACAGAACACGACCCTTTGCTGAAGATACGGACACAGACGAGGAAAGTGATGCACATGCGAACTGGTACTACAACAACAACAACAAAGTCAGCTTCAACGCCAGCTGTCGTGAGCTCTCGTTAAACGGGCTTTCAAATTAATGTCACCACGATAGGTGAAATCCCACAACGCTTCCCCTTGGCCCCTTCAGAGTAAGAGAGAGAGAGCAGTCTCTCCGAAGGGGCCGAGGGAACGGTACGCGAGGCCGTGGAGGCAGGAGGAGGGAGGAGGGCATTGACAAACTCTTTGGTTCTATTCGGTAAAGTCACGTAGGTAAAAAATAAAACAACAAAAATCACGACGTTTAAATCTAGAATGGCATTGACAAAGTTCGTGATGTTCAGGGACTGGGCTTGGGTAGAGGCAGCCAGGGACGAGTTTGGTGGATAAAGGTTGGAATAGCACGTGGGAGTGTGATGGTTTTCGCCACCAGTATTATTAATTAATAATAAAGGGTTTTGGGTTAGATCGCGTTATTTTTAAATGTGTCGTAACCCTCCACCACCCGACACGGCCAATCAGCAAAAAAAGTGTCACGTTGACAAAAAAAGACAAAATAGTTCACAACTTTAGCCCACCGGTGTGTACATGTTGTGGATTCACTCTTCGACACACCGGTGGGCTAAAGTAGTGAACTATTTTGTCTTTTGTCAACTTGACACTTTTTTGCTGATTGGCCGTGTCGGGTGGTGGAGGGTTACGACACATTTATAAATAACGCGATCTAACCCAAAAACCTTTATTATGAAAGGTTTGAATGACGGTCGTGGTCAGTTTAACACGTAGGCTTTCGCGACCAAGGGTCCGTCCATAAATGACGTCACGCGATTTTGGACGATTTTTGACCCCTCCCCTACGTCACACGGCGTCACAAAAAGTCAGACCCCTCGAATATGACGTCACAAAGCTCTGCTCCCCCCCCCCCCATAAACCATATTTCCATTTTGAAAATAAAACATGCTTCAAATCGCTTTAAACTATTGTCATTGTAGTGCCTATTTAATGTGGCGCTGCTGCACTCTGATGTTGTAGGAGTGTTATAAGAAGTAGTGTTATAACAATTCTATATTTAAAGTTGCGCATTTTGATGTGACGTCACATTTCTCAAATCCCCCCCCCCCCCCTCGTCACACATAGTCACAAATGTCTGACCCCCCCCCACTAGGTGCGTGACGTAATTTATGGACGGCTCCCAATATCCATAATAAAGGTGTCATTTAAAACCCGCCACTACCCGACACAGCCAATTGGTAAGGTTTGTCACGTAAACAAAACATGCCAATTCGTTACGAGTACAGCCCACCGGTGTGTTGGAGGGATATCCCTCTATTTTAGAACGAAACAGGAGGATTTCTCCACAAATCTGGCTGTCGCCCGATTATGCTATTTGTAATTACTGGCGAAACGTCGTACTCGAATTCTAAATGTTGTGGGTTTACTCTCCAACACACCGGTGTGCTGTTCTAGCAACGAATTTGCAAGTTTTGTTTACGTGACAGACTTTACTAATTGGCTGTGTCGGGGTTAACGACACATTTATATTTACCCGATCTAACCCAAAAAAACTGTGTTATGGACAGTTGTGGTGTCGTGTGGGGGTGAGTGGTGGGGAGGGGCAGTCAGGATTAGGGGGTGGTGAAGTTGAAAGTCATGCAAGAGGTTGAGCAGTTAGACAATAATTGCATTTCCAACATTGTATACCTTTTCTGACAAATCGGGGGAAAGTTGTTCACACTTGGCAGCTGACGCGAGTTGTGGAGGAAGCCTGATTCTGAGGATGCAGAAGGAAATTCATAGGACTGAAGGGGGATTTAGGATTTACAAAAAAAAAACATTTACAGACAGAGCAGAAGGAGTATGATCCCAAGCTGCATGATAAGATTGAATAATGCCAAGTCTTCCAAATGTCTTTGTGAATTTCAAGGTCAGGTTTTTTGTCCCATTGTTTGCTTCACAGCGCTCAGAGATTGGGGCCTTTTACAAGTAGTTTACAGATCGTTGGGTCAATATGCCTGCCAAAGCAAGTCTTTACGAAATCTTTTAGTTGACAGAACTATTTGCTTACCTGCTTTTTTGCAGAGTCTCATGCCAACTGGCATGTAAACAGTTTCACGAGTGTGATCCTTGTTTCAAGTACCTTTACTGTAACGTCAGTCAGCTGACATCTTTAGATTGAGGATAGTACTTAGATGACACTGATACAGATGGCGTGATTTTGCTACAGGTTAGATGTGAGAACAGGGAAATAGCTATACAGTATGCTTGTTACACAGTGAACTAGTGATACCAAGAAAACGGAAAACTTATTTTGCAAAAATGAGGTCTAATTATAACTTCATAGTCGAGTGTGCAGAGTTAGGTTCATGGTGTAATTGTACTCATTGTTTTGAAAGACAATTCTGTGCAATTTAAGATGAGAACATATTTTAATAAATGACAGGTGCTTTGGTTAATTAAACGAGTATTTGATTACTCTTAAAACAATGTCACGTAGTTTGCACAGATATAAAACGTGCCACACACCGCATTCTTTACCGGCAGAACATTTAATATTGAAATTAAACTTAAAATTTTGTATCTTTTGAATATTCAGTATGATAGTTTTTTCTTTAATAAAATTTTCTGATCTATATTTGATGAGATTGTCAGTTTTTTTATTATTATTGTTTACCCAGGAAAGCCTCACTGAGTCTCAAGACTCGTTTTTATGAGGGTCCTGTCATGATTTCGCCAGTAGCGGGCGATGTTGTCACTGTGTGTAATCCCATTTTGGTAATTTGCAGATAAATTTTAAACACTGGGATGTTTGGCCAATGCCAGTTAGAATGTTTTTTTGTGCCTTGGAAGGAAACCAGAGAACCCAGAGGAAACCATGCAAAACAGGGGAAGAATATATATACAAACAGAAAGGAGCCCGAGTCGGCAATCGGACCCAGGATCTTCTGCCTGTGATGCACAAATGTCAACACAACGCCACCCTGCTGCCCTTGTCAATATTATAAAAGTCATCGTCCTGCTTGAAATTTCCCTACCATCTCGGTGGGTTCACATAGATCCATAAATCATCTTGGATGATTATTACTGGTGATTACTACTTCCTCACTGTTTAAACATCTCACTTGTTCAATAAAAGGCCCCTGTGCCAAACTTGTTGCCATGGGTTTTTCCAGCCACCCTGTTTGCTGCAATGATTGTTGTTGGCTTAGTTCCATTTCCCCTTGCATTGACAAGTGGCTTACTGACCCAACTGTAGGGATTGTTTTTTGCGCCCTTGTATTTGTGACCTTTTGGTGGAGTGCTTCAGTGTCCTCCCCATTAAAATATACCTCGAATAATTGGCCGAAATAATAAAGCAAGGCCCCCCCCTCAGGTTAAGAAGTACGGAAGTCAGTGAGGCTTTCGTGAATCAGGAAAAGTTGCAGCCTGGCAGATTCTTGATCACACCACTGCCACTGGCTGCTCTAGATCAGGGGTCAGCAAACTGCCGCTCCTGGAGCCGCATGCGATTCTTTAAGGATTGCTTTGTGACGTCATTTATTAAGGACCACCACCGTCTCGTATTCACATGCATTACGGCTATTGAAATATATATATATATTTTTTTACCAAATTCGAAGACAATGGCTCTTGTTAATTTGTTTGCTGACCCCCCTGCTCTAGGAAGCCCTTCCCTAGGGAGTTTTGGCCTTTTCTTCCATGGTTAAGTAAATGATTATGAATGGCCAGTGTTTGAAATTTGGAAACTGAATATGAATGAGATTTCCATTTGCTTGGCTTCATTTGTCGAAGGAACGGTACCGACATCAACAGCCCTGTGGGTGAGTGAGAGGCAGCACAGGTATAGTGTTGCAAGGCTGTGCATGTTAACTTCCCAGTTTATTACTCCTAATGTCTTAATAATAAGGTGACCTTGGATTATTTCAAGGCAATTCACGAGTGGCTGCACCCCCTGTGCCTAACATTATCTACACACAAGGCACAGCAATGGGCTCATTTTAATTAGAATTGATTTACTCTCCGAGATAAACAGGTAGAAAGCCAGCCCGATATTGCCAATGTTTGCCTCAGAGAGAGCTGAGATTGAGAACAAAAAAAACAATGACTGTGCTTTGTATGTTAAGTCATGTAAATTGGCTTTTATATGGCTGTAAAAAACCATACTGGATTTGAAGAATCAATGAAGCGTTGTGGCATGCTTGTAAACGTGGTGCTTTGGAGGCCGAGTTGATGGATTATGCAGGAATCAGACACTCATCCTGGAGGCTGCAACTCAACTTGCATAAGGTGGTACAGCGAGCACGTTGCTGACATCTAAGTGCAGTTTTGTTCCTTGTGTTGTTCCTGCAACTACGTCTCCTCTGTCCACACCATTGCACTCCAGCAGTGGCACATCGGTTAGCACGCTGGACTCTGAACTCAAGAGAGCCGAGTTCAATTCCCAACCACGGATAATATCAGTGGCAAGTGATATCGGAAACCGGACTCCTCGATTCACGCACCCCGCAGTCACTAGCTTGGCGAAGTCGGTCACACGATCATGATTGACACAGTGTCAGGACGCTCTCATCCAACAGTGGACTGACACATGGCTGTCAAATCTCTTGAAATAGTGTGGGCTGTGTTAGAAATGTTCTTAAAAAATTATCGCAGTCAGCAGAGCATGCTGTGCAAGATGATGCCACAAAACAACTTTTTGAGTTGCCTGAGTGGGCTCCTGTAACCCCGACTCCAGAGAGATACCCTTTCAAACTCTCAAGAGTACATTGTTGCTGTATATCACTTACCCAAAACAACTATACATCTGAACCCAGACGTGGCTCAGTGCTCTGATGTAACCATTGAGGCATGTTATTTTACCCACCCGCTCCTTGAGTCCATTGCCTCGGCCATCGACAATTGACACTGGAGGCAACACAAGTGATGTGTTCCGCTTATCTCGATTGAGAACTCTCTCTCCCTTGGTGGTGGAAATTCCGCGTTCCCGTGACGGAGGCGTGTTTATCCACGGGATAAATCACTCATTGCTTGCTACAAAAGTGGCACTCTTGTTATTGACACTGGAGTGATGATAGGCTGAATTGACAAACCACACAGAATCAGACTATGTATCCTGGAGGAATCTGAGGAGCTATGAAGCTTTTTTTCACAGATGTCCAGTAGGGGCGGGTAAGAACGTTACAACAACAAACAGTACAACAACACGATAGGAGTGCAAAGTATAGGAAAGGTAAACAATAACTTAAAATATACAAATAAAACATTATTTTTAATCTTGATTTGAAGCTTTCGTGACTGCAGGAATCCATACTTTTTGGTTCTTTCGGTAAAGTCAGGTAGGTTGAAAATAAAAGTATAGGAAAAGTAAACAATAACTTAAAATATACAAATAAAACAACATTATTTTTAATCTTGATTTGAAGCTTTCGTGACTGCAGGAATCCATACTTTTTGGTTCTTTCGGTAAAGTCAGGTAGGTAGAAAATCAAATAAAATCACGGCGTTTCGATTGCAACACAAGCAATCATCATCAGGTGGGAAAACTACAGCAAGAACAAATTTCCCCTCCCCCTACCCCACACCCCCCTCCCCCCCCCTTGCCCCTCCCCCCTCTCTTACCTATATAACCTCTTACCACGGCAGCTCTCTCTCCCACTTCAGCAAAAAAAATTCTTACTGTGGTTTTCCCACCTGATGATGATTGCTTGTGTTGCAATCGAAACGTCGTGATTTTATTTTATTATATACCTACGTGATTTTACCGAAAGAACCAAAGAGTATTATTTTTTTTATCTTACCAGGTAATAAAGCCCACTGAGGTATGAATTTATTTTTCAGAAGCGACCCGGACACAAATGATAGCTCAAGAAAAGTTGTTTATCATATTGAAATTTAAAGCAGCAAAATTATCTAAATTATCTCTGTAGAAAAGGTGACTGCATTGCGCTTAAGCCGCTAGACCCAACAGAAGTTTGTCATTTAATATTCTGGCTCGAGGTCAGCTAAGTCGATTGTCCCTTATTGATTGATCAAATAACGATCACTTGGTGTAAAGTCCACATTGGCCATCCCTTCGATTGATTGGCCCCTGCCACCAAACCAAATCGATTACCATATATGTCCGTGTGGTTACTTTATTTGTTCGGTGATGAATGGTTATAGTTAAAAATGTACTATATCTGCAGCATCTAACCAAATATAAACTAATAATGAATAAGTATAATTGGAATGATGATCATTTATTCGTATGAGATTCTAAATTTGACCTGATATTTGGTGTAACCACATTATGTACCGTGCGAAAGAAGGTCAACATACATACATGCATTTCATGAAACTTAAGAACCTATTTATTTCTTATGATATGTTAGTTTTTTTTTTTACACAGACTCTACATAGCTCTGAAACTCTATGTATGCATGTATGTCTGCATGTTGAGCTTCTTTTGCACCGTACATAGCCAACCATGCTAACCGGGGGGGTACGGGGAAGGGACAGCAAACTTAAACACAAAGCAGTTCTAAGGAAGTGAGTTTTCAATTTAAATTTTTTTTACGTGCAATTCCGATTTGTTGGGTCTTCTGCACCGTGTAAAGAAGAAAAAAAACCCCATGCAATAATCCCGATGCTTCTTGATCCACTTTGTGTCTCTGAACCATCGCTCCGTTCAATCGCGCCACTGAACGCCTCCCGCCGCCTCTCGCCGCCGCCGCCGCCGCCGCGTGCAGGCGATCCTGGCCTTCGCGTGGTTCTACGTGCGCTGCTACCAGAGCCGGCACGACAGCGAGGCGAGCTCCACAGTGACGGCCATCCTGGCCGTCGCCGTCGCCCTCTCCGCCGCCGCACTGCTGGTCGTCGACATCTTCCTCGTCTCCTTCGCGAAGCTTCCCAACGGCACCTACAAGGCGAGCGCCCTCACCGTCGGGTCGGCCGCCGACCGGCGCCGCGGTTTCACGAGCTCGCGGCTGGCCGCCCGCCCCGCCCCGCCGTCGTGGACCAGGGGTCGGCAAACTGCGGCGCCGGAGCCGCGTGCGGCTCTCCACTAAGGACCGCTTCGCGACGTCATTTATTAAAGACCGCCGTCTCGTATTCACTTGCGTTGACCGCTCTTGAAATACTGCTTTTCCTTACCGAAATGGCTCTTCTTGTTGTTTCGGTTGCCGACCTCTGTTGTAGACCCTGGACTAAATGTAGAACGATGTGCACCGTCTGGAACGCTCTTCCGATATTAGGAAACCACTGGAGATTTCCACTTTGAATGCTTGTTCTGTGTTTGTCGTCCTTCCCCGCGCCTCTGATTAGCACGGTTGGCTACGTACGGTGCGAAAGAAGTTCGACGTACATTGTGAGGGAAGCGCCGACGACAGGGGTAGATGTTGCATTAGGGATGCTGCCGTGCTGTGATGGTTGCCACGTGGCACTTATAGTCCAGTGGTCGACCGGTTCGATTTCCTGGCTTGGCGGTTAAAACAATGGGCAAGTTTCTTGAATCCTCCATCCTCTGTCCACCCGGAAGTTTGTGTGTTGAACTTTCATACGGTCAACTTCTTGAGCACCGTTATGTAGCCAACCGTGCTAATCGTATAATTTAATTAAAAAGTTAATGCGCCACAGTTTAGACGACGGGAAGGTCACGTGTGGTGAGGTGAAGTGTGAGCACTCCTGCCTCTTCCAAAACGTCTGGCAAGGGTTTCTCTTAAGCTCACTGTAGTGGAGGCTCTTCCACCAGCAGTGGCGTGAGCGAGAAATTGCGGGCTCTGTTCCATTGCCCGTACCTCTGTGCAATGTTCGTTTAAGACACCGCATCATAAACAGTCGGGGGCAGAAGGAAGAGAAGAGGAGAAGGTCTTGCGCTTGGACTTTGTTTCAATTCATATATTAGGTATAGCCCTGTGAGCCATTCGGCTCTTGAATCGGGTGCAACCGCAACAAACAAAAACACGAACAAGAAACATCTTAAAGTGACTACGCGCAACAGAAAAATCCAGGAAAAAAACAGCAAAAGTCTTCCAGAAAAAGCACCGTATATTAATGCTGTGTGCAAAAATTCCAGTGGGATGCAAGTCAAACAATAACAACCATAAGACAATTGAGATTAAAGTTATCAGTCTAACTCTGTACTACAACAAACAAATATGGCTAAACCAAAACGTTTCAAAATCACCAAAATAAAGCTATAAAAACAATGTAACAGTGATCATAGGAACTGTGATTCAAATTTAACAATAAACGATATACATAACATGTACGACCAAACTTTGCAGCCATAGCTGGCTGCATGAGTCACTTCATAACAGTAGGAGTATCAGCAGTATCAACATTTTTCAATGCACCTTTAAAGATCAGCACACTATAATAAAAACTCGAGATCATACTTTGCAGCGTTCATCCGGAGCGATACATTTGATTTCAGGCCACTGAATAGCAGTGGTAGCAAGGGGTGTACAACGCCTCTAGAACAGGGCCAGCCAGCCAGAGGGCACAACTGGCCAAGGGGCAGAGAGCCCCAGACTAAGGAGTGACGTCTCATTGAGTAGAGGTACTGAGAGGGCTTTGAGTGAAAGACCTCGATTACAGGAAGAGGCAACCTGTGAAGGGGAGGATATCGAGATGAGAGGATCCCATTTGAAGTGCTTCTCTCCTCAAGCGGCACTCCTCCCCAGTTACGGATGAGAACTCTTGACTTCATTTTGTTGACCCCAAACAGAAGATGAGCTGAGTCGGTGCTCTTGCGTTTTGTTTTATGGTTGAGTGTTGTTGGAGTGAATATGGGGCTCACCAGGAGAATGTTTGCGAGTTCAAATCCATGACGGGGTTTTGACTCGGCCCATCTTACCGGTTTTTACAAAAATCCGGTCCACTTATTATTAAATTAGTGTCAACTTTTCTTTGGGAAGACATTGGCATATAAATGTGGAATTCTCCATTTCTGGTTCGGGGTCAGCAGTATAGATGGACGCTGCCCCGTGCCTATTTGAGCAGGGAGATATTTTCACTCGTTGGCTCTAAATGTTCTTACGGCTAAATGTGTGTCCATTGTCTTTGAATTTGTCTTCATTGGACTGTTATCAGTCAAGTGACTCTCCTCTTCTGCGAGCAGTAATAGGAAGAAAGTAACACATGCAATGTATGTGAATGTTTAATTCTCAGGAATGGGCTATGGACAATGCTACAAGGATGCATGTTGAAAACACAGTCCTTTACGGCTATTACAGTAAGTCCTCTTTCATGTATTTTTTATTAAAGAGTTCTTTATGTATGTGTAGTGTTGTAAGGACGAGCAGACTTCTTTAGGAGGCACACTCTGTTTATTGTATTATTTCCTTATGCAACGCTTAACACACACAGAGGGATATTCGGTCCCCTCACCCGATACCCTAGGGAGGTACAGCCTCCGTACCTGGCGGGACTCTCACGTCTACCGCTAACCTCCTTGATACCTAAGGAGGTACAGCCTCCGGACTTGGCGGGACTCACACGTCTACCGCTATCCTAGTCCTCCGGCTAGGACCTAGGGGAGGCTATCTGACCCACCGCTGGCCCCGGTGGGTCCTGACCACTGGGTATGCCGAGCCTTAGCCCTTAGAAGGGCTGGGAGGCTGGTCCAAGGTCCTAGCTAGGCTTCAGCCCAGTCTTCTGTCTTCGTGCAGGGAGCGAACCCCTCCAGGTCCGTTGGGTCACCCGTCTTATACCCCTTCGTGGCCAGGTAGAACCAATCATACATTCCCACGTGGAACCGTCTGATTGGTTCGCACCAAACCCTGGCCACGATCCGTTTCACCTCGACTGACCCCAACCGTTGTACCCAGGGGTAATGCTGCACTGCCCTGGTGGCAACGCAGGTTACGCAACAGCGCGTAGTTAACACCTCTACATATGCATGTGTAGTGTGTTGAATTTAGGTGCACACTTGAGGCAACACGTTTATTTAACACAACAGGTAACTCTAACAGGATAACAATATAGGGTGGTGACCACCACGGCTAACTTAACTAACACTCGGAGGGATACCTACAGAGTCGGACCAGGACCGCTAACAGGCTGCCTGGTCCACGCGTGAAGACCGAGGATCGAGGATCGAGGATTGCGACTTCATTCCCAGAGTTGAATCACTGCCGAGATCCCTCTCGGCAGTGATTCGCCCTTGGCCACGCCCCCTTCCAGAACCCCCGTGGGGACTCTGGGTCCCAGTTACGTGACCCTCTTACCCCAAACTGGGGGTCCCCCTGCCCCCTCTCGTCCGGTCACGTGCCCTCTCGGGTTCACCTGGCTGTCACGTCCTCACGCGACCTCTCTCTCGGTGACACCCGGGCTCCGCCCTTAGAGTAGCACTCCTCACTCGGCACTGTCGCTACACCATGGTGACACCATCGAGGCCGTTACACGTGTAAACCGTACAATAAAACACCTGATACGACTTTTGTTACCTGCACTTAAGTTTTAAAGCACTCCTCTTGTGAACCAAACCACTTTGAATCCACCCAACCTTGTCGGATCTTGGAAAGCTAAGCCACTTGAGCCTGGTTACCTCATGGATGAATGAATTCCGAGGGAATACCAGTTGTAGCTTTGGAATATTACGTGGCCAAAACATGTTAGTGCAGTATTGGAGGCAATCCATCTGTTTGGAGCTTTGTGTGTTACCGCCTTATATGTGTGGACTTCTCCGGGTAATCCCATATGCCAAACACTCGTTGGTGGGATTGGAAAAATATTCCAGTGTAGGGACCCACCTTCAAACTAGTCTTAAGACCTGGTGAGGCTTTCCTGGGTCATCGAAATGTATGATTACGATCTGAGATGACAGTTGTGCTCTTGGCTTAATGTTGTGAGATGATAAAAAGTTAATTAATAAATATTCCAGCATAGCCCTGTCCAATCACCCTGCGTCAGAAAGGGACCTGGGAATGTCTCGGGACGGAATTTTTTTGAAATTAAATTTAAGGCCTTTTTGTCCACAATTACGGGGATACCTTTAATATGTGCTGCGGAGAGTGTTAATTGCTTGTCAATATTTTAATTCTCAGAGCTGGAATAAGCTGAATAAAGTGGATAAACAACTTTAATACAACTTATTCTTAGCTCTTTCGGTAAAGTCACGTTGAAGGGAAACAATAAAATAATAAAATATATATAAAACAATAAAAATTCTCACGACGTTTCGACCATAACACAAACGGTCGTCATCAGGTGTGTCGGTTTGCATTAATTTATTAATCGAAACGTCGTGAGAATTTATATTTTTATTTATTAATTTATTAATGCAAACCGACACACCTGATGACGACCGTTTGTGTTATGGTCGAAACGTCGTGAGAATTTTTATTGTTTCATCTATATTTTATTATTTTATTGTTTCCCTTCAACGTGACTTTACCGAAAGAGCTAAGAATATGAATTACCGCAGTCACGAAAGCTTTAAATCAAAGGAATATGAATTACTGCAGTCACGAAAGCTTTAAATCAAAATTTAATACAACTTGTCTTCTGAAGGCCATCGTGGTATGGGCTGACAGCGTGCTCTTGAGAAACTGGCTTGATCACGAGGGGCTGAAACCCTCATTCAAACCCACGATCTGCTGAGCCAGGTGCAAACCTCCGATACCGGGATACAATGGCAGCCCTTGCCTCCTGACACTTTACGCAATGCGAGTTTTTGCTTCTGTAAACTCTCAACCTCGGTTATTCCCAAGCAGAATAACATTTGCTTTACTGGCGAGGTACACTATTGATCTGCGTAAAAAAATTTTTTTACAAGGGCATATCCATTTGATCACGTGTTTTGAGTTTTTTTTCATTGTGTTATAATCTATACTTTTAAAACAACGTCTGTCTTGTATTGCTCGATTAACTTATTGCCTCTGAACTTCACGAACTTCCAGCCCAACGCATAAGTCGTGTAAACGCGCGAGTACATTAGGTCATAGACTATCTGCGTTCGATTACAGAATCTTGTTGTATTGCTCGATTAACTTATTGCCTCTGAACTTCACGAACTTCCAGCCCAACGCATAAGTCGTGTAAACGCGCGAGTACATTAGGTCATAGACTATCTGCGTTCGATTACAGAATCTTGTTTTCTTCATGCAGAAGGATTTTCTGGCCGTGAAGCTAAATGGCACATCTTGGAGGCAAGATTTTCAGCCAAGCCGAGATTTGGAATGCAGACATAATTTGTCGCAAGTGTGTATCAAAACTAAAAACTATTGAACTACATTTTTTTTACTTTACCACTGAGCTATATAGCTCTTTTACAGAAGCAACCTGGCCACACATGATAGCTCAACGAAGTGGCTTATCACGTGGAAATGTTTTGCAGCCACATACATCTTAAACGCGTGTTGATTCTAAATGATGAGGGAACAAAAACCAGAGGACCTGGAGAAAAATCCACCCGACCTAGGGGAGAACATTCAAACTCCAAATATTACAGGCGTCAGGGTTGGGATTGAACCCACGACTTCCTGTATGCCAGGTGAGTTTGTTAACATCTTGACACCGTGGCACCCCATATATTAATATTTCACTGGATATCAGTGCACCTACTCTTTATAGAGTGTGTATATTTTCGGGTCGTGCATACTTGGTTGTAACAGAACACACACATGAGCACAAAGGATGCTCCATTCAGCCGTATAGCCCAGTTGGGCTCAGAATTGTTAATGAGCAACCTTCTCAGGCCAGTACAACACGAGTGAGGATGCTGAGGTGAGCACCACACTTGACCACCTTTGTCTCCCCAGAGCTGACGTTTACACACTGCAGCCAGCTACCCATTTACGGCTGAGCTGACCTAAGGGGGGCCATGGCCACTTCAGATATTTGCCACTGATGTTAGTTGTGGGTGAGATCTTAATTTGGGCTCCTGGTGAACTAACCACTGCAGTATTGCTCCACACATTGCTACCACGCATATTCAAAGACAAAGATCCCCCGTTTACTCAGCACTGAATCTATCTGGAATGTTCTCAAAAATAGGTAAATTTCAAAATATCACTGTCCTGGTCACAAAAGCAAAGTTGGTGGGGAATAATAGCCCTTTTCTATACTTTTTAAGCATAAGCAATTACGAAATAACACTACCCAGGAACAAAAATTGTTTTACATAGTCATCATGAGGCCTCATTTGCCAGTACCAAAATATAAGAATAGGTTTTTCCCCTTTTTTTCTGGCAACAAAACGGAAACCTTTTTACAATGAATCATGTCTGCATTAACCACAATACTTGTGGTCAGAATGCAAACAAAAAACATACTCTGATAATATATGCATTGTACTTGAAACTGATTGGTCTACACCAGAGATAGCTTTCTTTTGAGCCTCGTCTCAAACGGTGTTAGACCAGAGGACGCCAAAATGCGTACAAATCCAAGGCAATGCACTATCAGAGTAATTAGAGCTCGGGGTAAGCATCTACATCATGAGATCCTCCTTTGCCAGTGCCAAAATGTAAGAATAGGTTTTTCCCCTTTCTGATAGTGCATTGTCTTGGAGCTGTACGCAACACAAGGTTGTGTTGCGATCGAAACGTCGTAGTTTTTTTGTTATTTTCTTTGAACCTATCCACGCGACTTTACCGAAAGACCCAAATAATATGAATTCCTGCGGTCACGAAAGCTTTGAGTCAAGATTTACAGTGTTATTATACTTGTTCCCCAACCTAGCCTCGTGTAAATTGAGCACACTCCCAGCAAACACTGTGCCAAGGTCGCTATGCCAAGGTTCAATTGTAAACACTGCTCGCTAAACTTTTGCAGACATTCTATTAGTAACTGTCTAATTTTATGGGATTATGGCTTCCAATTAATTACCTTGTAATTGCAAGGGATTAAACTGAACTGCCACGATTAAACGAGTAAGCCCAGAGTTTTAAAGTGCGCAAATCAGATCAGCCAAATGTAGTTAATAGGGTGATTGATTTTTCTTTTTGTAAATCCCACCCTAACAGCTGTGCATATTACAATTGAGATAGTGATTTCAATTGATTCTTACATTAACGATACATGCATGGAATCACGTGTCTAGCAATGTCTTTTTGAAAACGCACAGAGTAAAAGGGCGAGCAGTTGGGGGGGGGAGTGGGGCAATGGGGGAGAGGGAGGGCTGAGAGGAGGGGGGTTGGAGGGGGCGAGAAGGGGTGGGTGGGAGGAGAAAGCGGGGAGGGGTGGATTGGAGGGGGGAAGGGAGTGGGAGGGCGGGCGGGGGGGCTCACC